CTCGCGCACACGCCTCGTTTATCTCCCCACCTTGGCACACGCGGGGCGAGTGCCGTCTTTTCTGCAGCCCCGGGGCCCGGAGGGGGACTTTGGGGACAGGAGGGAAGCCCCTCGTCTTCCGACCCCCCTACGTGCACGAGCGCGACCCACCCTCCCCTAGCTGGCGTGCGCGCCCACGGGGCTTGCCTTGACCCATGGGTCCTCTGGAGAGGCGCCCGCCTCCGTCATCTTGGACAAACCGAACCGGAAACAAGCTGCGGGCGGGCCCCCTTCAGTGAGGAAGAGGGAGGTGCGCCCATGTGACCCCCGTCCCCCAATCCGCGGCAGCGAGGCGGGGGCGGGGTGAGGGTATTGCGCATGCGCGGTCGAAGGCTTTAAACACCGGCCAAAGCCTGGCGCTCCCGCGGGCCCTGGCCGCCTCGGCGACGCGCTCTCGGTGGAACCCTGCCCTCCCCGGGATAGACGCAAGACTAGGCGACACGAAGCACATTCTGCAAAGAGGGCCCCACCCGAGACTCTCTGAACATCGTCGCAGATGGTTCACACGCGTGCTGCCCTGCCCAGCCTGCTCCCGCCGATGCCCCCTCCCCAGGCCTGCCATCCCAGCCAGTGTGCCTTAACACGACCCTGACTCAGTAGGCTATAAGCCCTTGGGGAGGACCCCCACCTGGCGCGTCTAAGGATGCTCTTCCAACACCCAGCCCAGTATCTTTCAGGCCAATCGTGGAATTAAAACGAACCTTGCAAAGAGCCTGTTCGCCAAGCGATGCCACTTAAGGGCCCAGCAGGTCTGCACTCATCCAGAAGCCCGCGGCCAGTCAGGGGCACAGCCAAGGCCGACTTCAGTCTGGCTGGTGTCAAAGGCAATGCTCTCAAACACTGCACTCCGGGCGTCCAGCGCAAGCTTGAGCCCTGCGCTTGTGGCATAAGGATCCCAAGAATTCAGAGGCATTGGGACAGGAAGCAGACACCATCCAGGCAGCACCTGGAAACACTCGTCTTTAATTCTGTTACAAGTTGCAGCGTTTGCCCTGACCCTGGTCAGCTGTGGGGACCACAGACACCAAGGACAGGAGTGGGGATGGAGCCCCAGAGGGGCCTGTATCCCTGTGAGTCACGTCTGCAATGCTGGCCCAATACCAGCGTGCTAGCTAGGTTTCCTGTGTCCACTGGGCCGTGCCATGTCCTGCACAGCTTGGCTTGGAGACCTCTTGGGCCGAGCCAGGTGGGTACCGAGGCCCCATTTCTCCTCACTGCCGCATCGCTTAGCTCTGGGGCCAGCCTGGCCCCATGGAGACTCATGTTCAGTCGAGGGCCTGGTGAGCCTTGGGGAGGCGCTTCTGCAGCAGGGTCCAGGCTTTTTCCACCTTCCAGCAGGCCGGAATGTTGGGAAGAAAAGAGCAAAGGTCAGGCAAGCACCCGCTGGGACCCTTCCCCACAAGCCATCCTATCCTCTTCCAGGGCACCCACCTGGCGCTGCGTGACATGCGGCTCCCACAAGGTGCTCAGCACCACGTGGCTCTGGTCCACGAGCTGCTGCCCGCTCATCTGGCTTTGCAGCCGGCTCTGAGCTGCAGTGTCACTCAGGCCATCCCTCTCCACGATGCGCCGTATGGCCTGGGCACAGATGGGGCAGATGGGGCATTTGTTAGGAAGAAGTCCAGCTCAGCAGAGACAGCCTGCAGGGGGTGGGTGGGGTCGATACCTCAGTCTCAGGGATGACCACTGTCCACACTTCGTGTACCATGTTCTGCCAGCCGGCTTCCAGCAGCAGGGCAGCATCAATCACACACACGTGCTTTCCTGAGGGGAGATCCCGGTCACTGCCCATAGCACCCTGGCCCTTGCCACCAGTCAGCACACTCCCACAGTCCCACAGAGAGTGGGTGGTCTGGCATGGGGCAGGGAGGCTCCCAGGCAAAGTGTCTGCTTGATTGTCCTCCTTGGCCACTCCCATCATCCCCCCTCTCACCCTCAGTCACAGCCCGGTCCATCTCCTCTCGGGCCAGCTTTGCGATAATGGGCCACACGATGTCTGTGAGTATCTTCAGCTGCTTCTAGGGAGGGCAGGGTGAGTGGGCAGAGGTTAACTTCCCCTAGAAACAGAGCCAGCCCAGGGGAGGCTAAGAACAAATGCAAGTTGGCATTCTGGGTCAGACCTGAGGGGCCCTGGTGATCCCACCGTGGGCTGGCGGCCGCAGAGGAGCGTGGAGAGGTGTGTATTTACCTTGTTCCCAAACACCCGGCTGCCTAGGACCTTCCTGTTGATGACGCCGTCCTTATGGAGAATATCTGGATGACAGAGACAGTGCTGAGCCGGGAGGCCAGGCCACCACCTCACTGCAGGCCACCTCTGGCCCTCCCCAGTCCTCACCTGCTCCAAAGGCTTCCACCACGGGCTGGTAGGCAGGGCCACCCGGGGCATAGGCCCGATGGCCCAGCTGGTCACTATCGATGACAAATGCCCCCAGGCCCTTCAGCCGCTGAGCTACTGAGCTCTTTCCGGAGCCACTGATACCGGTCAGTCCGATCACATAGAGGCATGGCGGGAGCTCTGGCCTCTCCTGGGGCAGGTGAGACGGAAGCCACAGTTACCAGGGCCCTCAGGGTCATGCTGGGGTCGAACCCTTCAGTTCCTATTGTCTGGCATTTCCGCATGCCTGAGCACGGGGAAGAAGTAGGGGAGGAAGGGAGGCTCACACAGGGAGGCCGAAGCAGGTTTCCAAGCATTCGCTGGCGGAGGCTGGAGGAGCTGACTTTGTCCTCTTCGTTTTCCATATGGCTTGGGTCCTTCAGCAGCTGGATCTGGTACAAGGTGAGCTCCTCCAGATCCTGGGGCAAAGGGGGAGGCTGAGAAGGGAGAAGGGAGCGAGAGGAACACGGGCCAACCCTGACACCCACCTGCCCATGTCTTCCCCAACCTGCCCAGGCTTCTCTTCCACCACAACGGGCAAGCTGGGAACCAGTTCCTCCTTGTTTCTTCCCACCACCTGGAGCCCTTGTCCCCACTCTGGGGCCATGATACTTCCACCAACAGTCCCCACAGTGGCCTTCCCAGCCCCATCCATTCCCTTTGCCAGTCTCCCTCAGGGGTTACATTCTCGAGGCGGAAGCGGTTGACGGCCATCCCCCCACGATAGGTCTCCTCGCTGACCACCAGGAACTCCAGGGAGGGGTCAGAGCCAGCGGGCCCATAGGGGTCCAGCAGGGGGATGACATCAAAAGTCAAGGAGGGCTTGATGTCCACCAGGAACTCACTCAGATGTTCCACGCGTTGTGCATAAGGCTGGAGCAGCTCAGGGAGCAACTTGCCTGGGGAAGGATCCCAGAGGAACAGTGAGACTTTGTTGCTGGACAGGAAAAGAGTGTCCCTGACTACTATCTCAAGGGGGGGGTGGCAGAAAGGAAGGGTTAAGTGGGGAGGGTCTGTGGTGGTGGCAGGGGGCAGGAAGGGGAAGAAACAGGTAAGCACAGCAGTCGCTGAGAGGGCCGGCATGTGTCCAGAGTACTAGCAGTGCCAGTGGGCATCAGAGTCAGACAATTCCCAGCACCACGCTATCTGGAGTCTCCTCTTACTGTCCGTGGCACTGCCACCCACAGCTCGCTCTCTCATTTCCTCCCCGTGTCTTACTAGGACCCATCACGCGGAGAACTTGTGAAAGTGCAGACTATTTTGCTTCACATTTGGGGGGTTTCTGACCGGGTGGTAGCTGGACACGTTGAGGAAATAGCATTTAGTCACTTATCGCAATATCCCTAGTGCCAGCTGAGTGTCAGGCATTAGGGAGGGGTGAGAAAGAATGCGGCCCTGCCTTTCCTGGATCTTGGCATCAGGGTGGTGGGGGAGGAGACGGGGGTCCTCCCTGCCCTAATCCAGGGTCCCTCTCACTCACTCTTCAACAGATCTTTGTCTGCCACTCCCACCACAAGCTGCTCCTGGGCCAAGACGCATGCGACACTGAGCAACACCTTGTGGGCATTGTGCAGGCGGTCAAACGTGCCACCCACAGCGCCACGGTGGTAGCCACGCACCGGCTGCTTTGGAGACCTGCCCACGGGGGAAGCTGGCCTGATCGTGGAGGGCAAGGGGACATCACGGGGCTCCGCGGGCAACTCTCCGGCCCCGTAGTCGGGGTACAGCAGCACCGAGGCCAGTCGCGGACAACAGCTGTAGCAGCTGGTGGCATAACGCACGAGCTGTTGCTTGACCGGGTTGTACTGGCTGCCGTCCAGGGTCTGGAAGTCTGTGAGCACCACTTCCGGCGGATGTGCGAGATTCTGGACCGAGGCGGACGGCGTGGGGGCAGAGGCGCTCTTGGTGCGGATGTTGGTGAGCAGGACTCGGACGTCCAGGTGCCGGTGGGCGTCGGCGCCCGCGTACAGGTGTGCGATGAAATCCAGGACCTCGAATGTGGCCTGCACGGGGCTGGCCTGGGGCTGCGCCGGGCCCACCAGGCACATGCCGGGGCGCAGATG